AAAAAAAAAAAAAAAAAGAAGGGCTGGCCAAATAGCTCAGCAGATTAAAGCCCCTGCAAGCAGGTGCAGGGGCCGGGGTTCGGGCCTTTCCTGCCGGCCCCGCCCCTGGGGCTTGCTGAGATTGAGACTGGGTGTGATGGCACATGCCTGTAATCTCAGCTCTTGGGGATCAATATGAGTCTGATCTAGTAGTGAGACCCTGAACACCCTGTAGACCCTTCCCAAAAATATAAAAAAATTATTAAATTAAATATAGAACATTTAATAAATAAAAAATAGAACAATGCTAACTGCATTCTGGGATATAGCTCAATGTCACAAGTGCCTGCCTGGCAAGCACAAGGTCCCAAGTTTGATCTTCTGCACACACACACACACACACACACACACACACACACACAGCTAACTGCTGAGCCCTGTGCAAGCTACAGTAGATGCTAGGAACGGAAGGGAGAAATGTGTTCTTCCCCTCAACCCCTCCATGATGCCTTTCAAAAGGGAAAAGTGATTGCTCCATGTAATTAACTATGGGGACACAGCAAAAGCCCCGAAATGGCCAGCCAATTGTCTCCAGATGGAGCTGGAGAGGCTGTGATTGTTTAACTCTCTTTAGCTCGGTTGAGTCCCAGTAGCCTGGCAGCCCAGGACCCTGCAAGGGACAAAGGCTGGGACTGCAGAGAGTGCATCAACGCTGACCAGGCTGGCCCAGTGCAGGGACAGTGAATTCCAAGAGACACTCCCATTATGCCAGCCTTTTGTATTTCTCCCCAACTGGCTCTAATCTTTAAATATTTACCCGGCCCCTTTGTGCAGATAGAACTTAGGCACTCTGGGCTGGTGTGCTATAAATCACGCGTCATTGACCTGCTTCTAGGCTGCAGAGAAGAGCCTTTCAATGCTCCAGCCTGCAAGGGCCAGAGCAAGGCAAAGCAAACCTCTGAAAACCTGGGGGTGTCTCCTGGGGTGAGCAGGGTCCAGGCTGGCCAGGGCCTTCCTGATCCCCTCCTGGCTACCAAGTGAACACATAGACAGGCTGAAGACCTATAATTAGTTGCTGCAGAGAGGTTCTCAAAAAAAAAAAAAACAAAAAAAAAAAACGACTGACTGGAGCTGACTGAGCCAAAGGTATAGATAGCTCAGAGGCATGGCACCTGCCTGACAATCTCGAGGTCCTGAGTTCGATTCCCAGTTCCAAAAAAAAAAAAGACAGAACTGTTGGTTCATGCTTATAATCCCAACACCCTCTGGAGGTTAAGACAAGAGGATCGCACAAGTTCGAGGTGAGCCTGGGTTACATGGTGAGTTCAAAGCCAGCCTAAACTATATATTGAGATTCTGTTTCAACAACAACAACAAAGTTGGGCGTGGTAGTGCACACCAGTGATCTCAGAACTTGAGAGACTAAGGCAGGAGGATTGTTGCAAATTCAAGACCAGCCTGTGCTACAAAGTCAGCTCAAGGCTAGTCTGAACTACATGTGGAGACCCTGTCCCAAAAAGCCAAAAACAGCAAAAGACTGACTTTGCACTCATAGTGAGGAGGAGGAAGAGGCCAGAGCTTCCTGGATCTTTCTCCTGCTGGGTTAGGCTCAGATAATGCTAGGACAGAAACAAACTTTCATCCTGGGAAGATGTTGTCTGGGGTGAGATGCTTGGTAATCCATCCAGCCTTGAGATGCAAGATCGCCTCATCCCACGGGGACACCCACACGTCCGCACTGTTTAAGATCTGGAAGCCTAATGTCAGCTCAGCCCTGGGTTCAGCCAGCAACTATGGAGGTGGTCCCGAGGGCCGACCACAAGAGTGAGCCCACTTGGGCCTCGGAAGGCAGCTTTAGTCTGTGGTGGGAGGGCAGCTGGGGAGGGAAGAAGAGAGGGCTGGTAGAGGCCCCCATTGCATGAGAAAAGGCCCCCTTTGCGCCTGCCTGAAGCGCCTAGAACAAAACGCCTTCAAATGCTTATTTCCAAGGAAAGGCAAACCGGTCTCCCAGGGCCGAGTAGCTTCCCCCTTCTTCCTTAGATTTTGGTAGGTTTGTTGTGCCCCTGAAACCGGAGGGCTGGGTACTCTGTGGGCTTGATCAGCTTGCTTTCCCCTCTGGTGGGAAGGCAGGTGTGTGTGTGTGTGTGTGTGTGTGACCGCTCCGCCACACACATGCATGCCTACGTGTGCCTAGATTTGCCTTTTAGTCTATGTGCTTCATAACTCAGTAAGCTCTGGGTCCTGACAAATTTAGAAACTCCAGCAACTTCTAAAACTTCTGGTTCCCTGGATCCTGGCCCGCCCGGGAGGGCACTGTGTCCCTTTCCTTTCCGGTCTCCAGGGTGGGTCTGAGGACAGCCCTCCAGTCGGGTCACACGTTGCTTTACGTCCTAGAGAGAATGGCAAGAGTCTTCCGAGATCATCCAGGCGGCTAGGAATGTGGAGAACGAGCGCCCGGGATGGAGGAGGTGCTTTTCCCAGGGGTGGGGTTGGGCCCCAAGGACCAAGCTCCCGCCCCACCCCCACGCGAAGGTGCGCCGAGCGCCCTCTAGTGGCCCCGAGGTGTCCCGGCGCAGAGGCGCAGTCCCGGGTGTGGCGGAGGGAGACCAGGAGAAGCGGAGAACAGACCTGAGACTTTCTCTCCCAGCCCCCAGGCCACAGTAATAATACCTCCCAGCCCACAGTAATACCTCGGCCTCCTTAAACGGCACTGCAACTCGGAAACTGGTTTTCAAAATATTCTCTCTCCAATTTCCATCACACAAGTTCAGCCAAGGTTTCTTGGGGACCATTTCAACACGGTCTCGGGCTTTAGGGCACAAATACCATGGAAGCAGGGCCCTCATTTTGCAGAAAGCAGAAGTTCACGGCACTGAGTGTCGGCGGTCAGAGCCCGACTGCAGCGTGTGCCAGGCTCCATCCACGCGCCAGACACCAGGCCCTGCAGGGACAGTGGAGAGGCCAGGGGCTCGGACACCGGGTTCCCGCTGCAGCCTCCACACTGAAGCCACTGCCCTCCATCCTCTCCTCGCCCAGCCTCTGCCCTTCCAGTGCAGTCCCAGAGTCCCCCCGCCTCACCTCCATTTCCAGCAGCAGGCGCTGCCAATCCTTCAGGGACCCAGGGACCCAGCATCTTCTCCACGCAGCCCCGCCGCTCCCGTGTCTCCTTGCCCACCCAGTCCTTGGCTGTTCTCTCTTCCACCCTGCACGGCCCTAGCCTGTTCCCTCCTTGCCCTTCGCTGCAGCTCTCCGGGCTCCCTCGGGTAAGGGCATTTAGAGCCGGAAGAGAGATCAATGGCACAGTCTTACTGTTTGATAAGAATAAAGTCTGGGGTCCTATAGCTTGGGGGTGAAGATTATTAACAATGATACAATGCACACCTCAAAATGCTGTAGGCAGGGGACAGGAATTCAAATGTACTCACCGTAAATTTTTTTTATTTAGTTTGCTGTACTGGGGAGTAAAGCCCTCAGTCCTGGGTTACAACTCCAGCCCCTTCTACATTTTTAGACAGGGTCTCGCTAAGTTGCCCAGGTCGGCCTTGGACTTGCCATCCTCCTGCCTCAGCCTTCCGACTGGCGGCCGGGATGACACAGGTGGAAAGTGAAGACTGCGGTGGCTAAATTTCCACCATTTCCCTAGACTCACGTGCACGCTTCTATTTCCCGCAAGTGAAAGCGGGATCGCACCACAAAGTACTGTTTTTGTAAAAACCGCAGCACACCCGGACATCGCCTACGCCGTCCCACATCCTCCACCCCACCCCGGGGTCCCGCAGACCCCACTTGCGCCTGTGCAAAGAAGAGCGGGCCGGGAAGGGGGTCGTTTCTAAGCTCGAGTTGTTTATTGGGACCAGAACTTTCTTGAGTTTGGGACCCACTCTTGGCACGAGCCCTCAGCAGCCCTCCCAGCCCAGCTCCGAGCGGCCCTGGCCTGGGAGTCCCAGAGCGGCCGGAAGGGCGGGGCCGGCGGGGCGGGGCGGGGCGGGGCGGGCGGCACACTCTTGCCAAATTCCGGCCACCGACCGCCTCTGGTGGCGTTCTCGCGAGAGCTTGCAGGAGGCGCGCAGTTCCGGGCAGCTCCCTTCCCGGCTAGCATCAGCGGCGCAGTGCGCAGGCGCTGCCGGAGAGTTTCCCGGGCTACCGTCCGCCCCTGCTAGTCTGTCGCCGGCTGGTCGGCCGCCCAGCGCCATGGCGGGCTGTGCAGCGCGGGCTCCGCCGGGCTCCGAGGCGCGCCTCAGCCTGGCCACCTTCCTGCTGGGCGCCTCGGTGCTCGCGCTGCCGCTGCTCACGCGCGCCGGCCTGCAGGGCCGCACCGGGCTGGCGCTGTACGTGGCGGGGCTCAACGCGCTGCTGCTCCTGCTCTACCGGCCGCCGCGCTACCAGGTGCGCGCCGGGCAGGGTCGCGCTCGGGACCGGGCAGGCGGGGCCGGGGTCGGGGCTGGGCTCCGGATCGGGGCCGCACTGGTAAAGAGCCGGGGTGAGGCTCGGGGACCCGGCAGGCGGGGCTCGGGCCACCCGGGGTCCCGCACGGCCGGCCTGCGCTTGGCCACCTGTCCCCGCGGTCCAGGGCTGTCTCCCCCAGAAGCGTGCCTCTCCCGGCCGTGGGTGTTACGTTGCCGTTAGTGTCGCTCTGCAGCTGCGGCAGCTGCGCAGGGGGTGGGAGCGAGCGAGCCCGCGAGCTCTTTTATGTAATGTGTGGTGTGGGGTCTCGCTTGCTGCCAGGTCAAAGAACCAAGTCCTCGGGGGAGGCAGGGCACTGAATCTCAGGTGTCCCGACCAGAGTCGCTGGCTTGGGAACTTCGGCCCAAGCTGGACAAACTTTTAAGCAGTTTCCCCACAATCCTGATGCTAGTAACAGCAATAATGACAATGACAGCCGCTACTGTATGTCGCGTCGCTTACACACAGGTGGACTTCACAGCAGTCCTAAAGGCGGGTAAGATTGTTACCGTGGTGTGGAAGAACGCGACGAGGTCAGAGAGTTGAAATACAACACCCTGTGGCCAGAGGGGTCTGGTGCAGGATTTGAACCTAGGTAGCCCCCCTTTACCAAGGGGCTGCCTTTGCTTGCCAGTGACCTGCTTATCCCAGGAAAGTCATCAGCTGGGTTTGCACTCTGAGCGCAGCCAGTGATGGGGCTTCCTTTGGGTCCGTTGCAGATAGCCATCCGAGCTTGCTTCCTTGGCTTCGTGTTTGGGTGCGGAGTGCTGCTCAGTTTTAGCCAGTCCTCCTGGAATCACTTTGGCTGGTAAGAAGTCCTGAGGGTGATGGTGTTGAGGCGAGGGTGGACAGCACAGAGGGTCAGTAGTGGCATTTCCGTGTCCCTGTCTCCTATGTCTGATGGGCAGGCAGAAGGCTGTTTAGGGTCCTATCTGTGTACCACCCAGATGCCCACAGCTTGGTTGACTCTGTTGCAGACACACGGGTTTCCCTGGCACTGTCCCCAAAGGTGCCCTCACAGCAGCTGCTGGGACAGCGTTCAGTGAGGTGCTGAGCCCTTTCCGGAAGGGGTGCAGGTCCTTGGTGATGGGAAGGGACGAGACTCTGGCTGGCCTTCCTAAGCCTTTTCCATCTCCGATTTCTATTAGGTCACGGCTAGTGCACCCCCAGCCACGGTAGGATTTTCCCCTACACTATGATTTCAGTCCCTTGAGCCTTCTAGTCTCTGACCTGGATATGAACCATGGCTTCAAGGTAAAGAGCTTTATCTCCTATTATCAGTATGCCGAGCCATCTAATCCTTCTTTGCTGCAATTATTTTATTAGTTTTGTTCAATTTTGTTTCCAACATACATCACTACTTTATGTTGCTATTTTTCCTTTCATTTTAAAATGTATATTGTCATTTTTTTTACAAGGACTTAAAAGCCCGTAGTATCTTCTTCACTTATGGAGGTTGTTTGGGTTTTTTTGTCTGTGACATTCGAGATCATGACAACTCCACTTAAAAATCCCACTTTCTACAAACCAGAAGGAGTAAATGCTTCGCATATGGGTGGGCACCTGGTGTCCCTGCAGGCAGAGTTAACAGGACCTTGTCATAGAATTAGGGACAGTCAGATCTAGATCTACTCATATGTCCGGCTAACTCGGTTCCCTTGCCCCAGTTTACCACTGTTTCTTTTTAAATAGGTATGTGTGCTCGCTGTCATTGTTCCACTATTCTGAGTACTTGGTGACAGCTGTCAATAATCCCAAAAGCCTATCCTTGGATTCCTTCCTCCTGAATCACAGCCTGGAGTACACGGTTGCTGCTCTTTCTTCTTGGATAGAGTTCACACTTGAAAATATCTTTTGGCCAGGTTAGTGTGCCCTACTTTCCCTGCTGGCAGCGAGAAGGGCAGCTGCTGTACATGCGGAGGATGGTGACATTGTTTCACCTTTCAGGCCTAATCCCCCTGAGCGATTATCCCCAGCCCTCTGTCCTCCTCACTAAGCTATTTATGAAGGACGGGCTCTGCTTGAGAGTTCCCTCTCTGGAGTTTGAATCGGGGACATGCTGACCTTTTCCTTTAGGCCTTGCATAATACAACGCATCATCTACAGTGCCATCCCTGGGATGGGTCGCACGTGAAGTTTTTATTAGCAAAAACGTCTACATCTGGAGCCCGCTCTGAAATTGGCCTTTTCCAGAGCTGCGGAAACAGTGGCTATGGCTCCCAGGATTCTGGGTGGAAACCCGGTCCCTTCTCCACTTTTCTCTTCTGTGCTTGTCCAAAGAGAAGGACACAGCCTGGAAGGAGAGCCAAGCACCCACCAGCCTTGGAGGGGAAGACTGCTTTGCAGTTGGCACTTTAATGTAAATGAGTGAAGAGCAGCGTCCAGTGCTGTTTTCTCTCCTTCCATTTTAATGTGCTGAAGACCGCTTATTACCCTGGGCATGTTTTCTAAGGTTTCTGTCTTTGAGGAAAGAAATTGGCTCCGTGTAAGCAGTGAAGGGGGAGGCTGGACAGTGCCTTGTCCTCAGTCCCGTGGCCCCTGTGGTCTCTCCGCAGAGCTGAAGCAGATCACTTGGCTCAGTGCCACGGGACTGCTCATGGTGGTCTTTGGAGAGTGCCTGCGCAAGGCTGCCATGTTCACGGCCGGCTCCAACTTCAACCACGTGGTGCAGAATGAGAAGTCGGACACCCACACGCTGGTGACAAGCGGGGTGTACGCCTGGTTCCGGCACCCATCCTATGTGGGCTGGTTCTACTGGAGTATCGGGACCCAGGTATGGTAGCAGATAGGACACTGGTTGCCATTCATTATTATTATCTTTTTTGGGGGGGTATTTTAGTAAGGGTCTACAGGGTCTCACTATGTAGATCGGATTTGTAGTGATCCGCCGGTGTTCAGCCTCCCAAGAGCTGGGATTATAGGCGTGTGCCATCACACCCAGTCTCAGCCGCCTCTCAGCACGCCCCGCCCCGAGGGACCGGGCCAGCATGGCACACCCGGCTGATGCCTAAGCAGGCGCTTTAATCCACTGAACTATTTGGCCGGCCCACCCTTCATTATTGTCTTGGATTTTAAATTGAAATATAAGCAGGGCCGGGAAATGGCTCAGTGGAATAAGTGCTTCCCTGGCAAGCGCAAGGGCCTGAGTTCAATCCCCAGTTCAGCCAAAAAATAAAAAAAA